TCCATCCCAAACCCTGTTGTGCCCCCCTCCTTTCTGTGGTGATAGAATATGGCGGGAAGGGGGGCACCCTGACTTCAGCGCCCTCCTCTCCCTCCCCTGCCCTGCACAGCAAGCAGGAGGCTCCTGGAGGGACTGGGGGCAGGAGATGCACAGCAGTGGGGGGAGGGGCAGCGGAAGTGCTGCACTTGGTAGCCTCTTGGCCAAACCCGTCAGGATCCCCCGTCGGAGGCTCCAAGGTCTCCCGGTAGATCCCCATGGACTGGCTGGTGACCACGGGGCTAGAGAGTCCGGCCTGGGCAGACTCAGGGCAGGGACTTTGGACAAGGATAACGAAGTGCCCTGAATTAACCACAGAAGGGAGCGTGTTCAGCTCCCGAGTGCCCGGCCCGGCCTTCCCTAGGCTGGCACTGACAGGTGAATGCCACAGCTTGCCCAGATCGCTCTTCCCAAGCATGGCCCCTGCTGATGAGAGGGCACCAGTCACGTGGTCCGCCTTTCCCCTTCCCTCCTGTAGATTGAGAACATGCAGCGGGACCGCCCTGAATTAACCACAGAAGGGAGCGTGTTCAGCTCCCGAGTGCCCGGCCCGGCCTTCCCTAGGCTGGCACTGACAGGTGAATGCCACAGCTTGCCCAGATCGCTCTTCCCAAGCATGGCCCCTGCTGATGAGAGGGCACCAGTCACGTGGTCCGCCTTTCCCCTTCCCTCCTGTAGATTGAGAACATGCAGCGGGACCCCGTGGTCCAACCGGAACACGGCAAGCGGCGCAGGGTCGTAAGGCGTGAAACCAGAAGGCAGCTCGGCTCCCGGGGCACCGAGCAGCAGCAGAGTCTAGGTAAGGAAACCTCGAGCTCCTCCGATTCCTATTGATTCCTTGGCCAGCAAGACAAGCCCTGGGTGGCAGCCTGAGTCAGCGCTGACTTGCTCAGAGCTGCAAACCACTCAGACTTATTAACCCCTTGGACGCCAGGCCTTTCCTCTGGACTGCAGTGAGCCTTGGCTCAGGGCCCATGTATCTCTGTAGCATGACGAGGCCACTCACGGCCACATCTTCTCGGTCATGCCCTTTTCCTGCCCGGAATATGAATAAGTAAAGGGCAGGGAACTCAGAGGCATGGGAGGTAACTGGCCCCCTCGGGTTAGCCGTGGGGCAGCCGTAGCAAGGCTGTTCAATCCGTGACTCTCTTCCATCTAACATTCCAGCTCAGCTCACCCCAGGTCATAACTCATCCTTCACCCAAACTCCCTTCAGACCCAACCCCCTCTCCTGCACCCCAGTCCCTCATCCTGAGCTCCCTTCTGCACTAAAACCCTGTCCCAGACCCCATGTCCCCTACACAGAAAAGTGCAGCCCTTAACCACTTACCAACATCTTGGAGTTGTTCCCCCCGCCCCCCAAAAATGTTTGCCTAGTGGTTGGCCCTGCCAGGAGTGCAGGGGACTGGGCTTGATGACCTCTCAAGTTCTGGATTTGCAAGAGTTATTGCAAGTGCGACCCCTCCGGGTATGTCTACACTACCCCGCTAGTTCGAACTATCTAGCCCGTGCCGCGGGTAGCCGCGCGGCCCGGGGGTCGCACGGCATTTAAAAATGGCGCCGGCCGGCTTATGCAAATGAAGCCCGGGAAATTCAAATCCCGGGCTTCATTTGCACGTTCGGTATGCATACATTACCCCCCTAGTTCGAACTAGCGGGGTAGTGTAGACAGACCCTCCCTGAGGAGACGGGAATACTCCACAAGCCGCACTTTGGGCATGTCTCCACTGGGGCTATTTCGAAATAACGAGGTGAGTGTCACTCTACCATGCCCGGTATTTCGAAATCACAACTCCTGCTTGTGGAGAGGAATAGCTTATTTCGGGAGTTATGATTTTGAAATAACTCCTTAGGGTAGACATAGCCTTTGTGTCCCAGAGTTGGCAGTGAATCCTGGAGTCTGCCCTGTTTCGTATGTATCAGCCCTCCTGTGAGCGACCGGGCCGTGTCTGGGCACAGCTGAGGGCGTCCGCTCAACTTCGGGGCTCCTTACAGCCCCCGACTGGTGACCTCTCCAAACAGGCCACAAACCAGTCCCACCGAGCGCTCCAGCAGCTGCCTGAGGCCTCCCGAGCAAAACCCCTCCGACACCCCAGCAATATCCGTGCCCCAGATGGCCCTGGGCCTATACACCGGTGGGGGGTCCTAGCACCCAATCCCACCTACCCCGAACAAGTTCTGTCCGGTCCCAAGAAACCAGCCACAGATCCCTGGTCAATTTACCCTCTGGACCTTACCCACAAATCACGCTGGGCCAATCCTTTAGAATCTATATCTAAAGGTTTATTATCACAAGAAAGAAAAGCATGAGAGTAAGGTTATTAAAGTACAGTATGATACATGCACCGAATCTCCCAGTCCTTGATGCAGGCTCTAGCAGAGATGTTACAGCTGCTGGTTTAAAAGTTCTTGTTGCACATCCTAGAATCAGGATGGGTTCACAGGTCTTCCGGGCTCTTCAATCCCTGCAGTGCTGCCTCTGGGATGAAGTGCTGAGCTGAGAACAAAATGGAGTCCCCCACATGGCCTCTTTATACATCTTTCCTGGCCTCTCCTTGGCCGCAGCCAGTCACCTGGCAGTCAGCCTCTCTCTGCTGGCAGCTCTTAGGCCTCCGCCCTCATGCTTTAGGTGTGTCCTTGGCCCATCGAGTGCCATTGTCCCATGGCCTCGCTAATCAGCCTGTCCATAGGCCAGGCTCTGCCCAGTGCTCAACCACATTCAGAGAAATATTCAGTTTCCACACAATTACAGATTCCTACCTACACACACGAACATTATACACTCACATAAATAGCGTACACAGGATCAGCAGACAGTAAGCTTCTATTCAATACCTCTCATGGCCCCCTTCTATACCATTCTTGGGGCCAACACCCCCACCTATGGGTGCATCAGTGATCTGGCTGCTCCCCTCAAGATCCAGTAACGTGGATAAATGCCAAAGTCTAATCTCTCTGAAATCCTCATCTGACCCTTTTATGAATCTTTGATCTTTTCCCCCAGAACTCTTTCATCTTAGTCTGTTAATCTAGATCAGTGGTCCCTAACCATTTGGGGTTGCCGGGCGCCGGGGGGCGTGGCCGTTCGCCCACCGGGCGCCAGAGGGCAGGGCCGCCCATAGCCCTGTGCCCAGGGATGGGGGCGGGGCCCCCCCATAGCCACGCGCCCGGGGCTGGTGCCCCCTCCAAGGGCCGTGCGCCCGGGGCCGGTGCCCCCTCCAAGCGCCACGTGCCCGGGGCCGGCACTCCCCTCATGCACCACGCGCCCAGAGCACGGGCGGCCAATTCGCGGTGCTCCCGGGGCTGGCGCTCACCGTGCACCATGCGCCCGGGGCCAGCTCCAGCGCCATGCATGTGCCACGTGCCTGGGGCCAGGCCAGCCCCGAGCACTTGACGGGCGCACAGAAATGCCCCCGCGGGCGCCATGGCACCCGCAGCCACTGTGTTGGGGACCACTGATCTAAGCACAGAGAAGAGTCAGGAAACATGCTGGACCGACACAATACACCCATCCAACAGCTTCTGAGACAGTCGCCACAGTGGGACTGTCCTGAGAAGGCAAGGACATGAGACCACTAAATCAGCTGGCACTTTAAGCCACATGAGCTTTTAAGATCATCTTGGACACTAGAGGGCTCTATTGCACACCCAGAAACCTGTTCCTTTGGCTCCTATTCATCAAATCCACAAAGCTTTCGCCTGGACAGACCAACAGATTTATCATAGGGAAACCACGAAAGTCATCAAACCTTACAGATGCTGATCCGAAGTGCATGTTTGGATTATAAAACCAGATGGATTAACAGATTTCTTTGCCTGGATGAAATTAAATGGAATAATATCTCATGTAGTACATCAGGCACTGTCCTGGTGTGATGTCTCTGAAAATGGGGTCATTACTGCTGTCTGACTACATACAACACTCACACACAGCTTGAAGTGAGCAATCACATCTGCTAGCATCTACACAGCATAGTGTTGTATGAACCTCTGGCCCCTGGATTATTTAATTTGTTTGGACAAAGGGAGGGTATTTACAGGTTGTTGGGGTTTTTTTTCAATATTAAGCAGCCATCTGTTGTGTTTTGGTCTTTTCCCTTCAGACCGGCCATTGCTGGACACACTCTGCCAAACCACTTGCCTGATACTTCCTGGGATAACCCTTCGGGGCTCCGAGCACCCACCCTGCCTTGGACTGCTAGACCAGCTGATTGGCAGAGATTTCACAGTGACAGGGATACGTCTCACCGTGCTGGACAAAGCACAGGCTCACCTCGTCTCCGAGACACTGAGCTCGGAGGGGCGCAGTGTTTCAGCAATGGTACGGGACAAACAAGGAGCTGCTCTTCCCTCGGCCCACCCATTTGCTCGCCTTCACAGTTCTTAGTTCCACTTAGTTGTGACTCCTGCAATGGCAAACCCCCATCAGGTCTTCGAGTACCTCCCCTCTCGGTGCATGGGTGTCTTTACCGCACTTGCTAGAGTCCAGGTTGGTTATAAGCAGACAGGCATCCCCACTTTCTTTTTGGAGTCCCTGCCACGGGTTCAGGGAGGACATTGCCCCTGATACCTACAGCCTGTTTCCCTGTTGTTCATTTCACTCATTCATCCCTGGCCCCCTTTGGCTATTCTAACTAACCCCCCTCCTTTCCTGGGGAGTGCACGCTTGACTTCTTGGGAGGGGATTCTGTGCCCCACCGCCTAGTTTTCGCATAGCCAGTCTAAGCATATTTAACCCTTTCCTGGGTTTTGCTCAAAAATCAGACCCCAAGTCATTTTTGTTGCTCATCTCTGAGCTGCCTCCAGTTTGTTGCTAGCTTGCTGGTGCTGAGGCACCAGTATTCATCTCCGGGGCAGGCTAGCGTGTTCCCACCCAGCTTGGAGCTCCGTGCTGCAAATGGCTGAGAACCTGAGCCCTGCTCTGCCCCGGCACTGAAGTACGTGACAAGGGCTGTTGAAGCCCAGGGAGTTCTGGCTCTTGAAGCCCGGTGAGAGTCTGACCCCAAACATGTTTCCTCCCTGGCTGCTGTGTGGAAGACAGGCCCATCTAGGGAGCTGGCCAGAGGGAAGTAGCCATGGTGACTATCCAAGGAAGTGCTGTCAAACGCCCAAAGCAAGCAGGGGGAGGGGGGATGAGCCTGACACTGGCTAGAGACAAAGGACTGTCCCATGCGCGCACAGCCACCCAACTGAGAAAACATGGACATCGTTTGCCTCTCGCTGCTCAGCGTGGGGCCATAGCTCTTCCTGCAGCAAGGACAGGGAAGCTATTTTCAGAGCATGATTTTTACACTGACAATATCCCCTTAAAGTAGATCTGTATAGAAGAGCAATTCTATCTAGTAGCCAATTAGACGAAGCACCAGTCTGCTCCCCTCTGGTTTTCCCAAGGCTGCTAGTCCCTCCCCCAGCCCCACCCGGGAATGATCCCCAGCTGTTATAGGAAGGGAGAGGGATGGGTAGTAGGATGGAAGCCGGGGAGCACCAGGGAGTGTTGCGCTGAAATCCTTTTCCCCACTCAGCGAGGAATCTCTTCAGTCACCAGTGAGGCGTGGCTGGTATATTTCCATACAGGCCTGGGAGTCCTGAGCCAATGGGAGTCTCCCAAAGGAGTCCCTCGCCTCCTGCCTCCAGCAAGGCCTGTCAGCGCAGTCTGAGTACCACCCCAGGCCATGCCTTCCTGTCAGTGCCTCGGTTTGCCTCTCGCCCAGAGGGAAATGACTAGACCCGTGCCCAGCCCGAGGAGAATGGGGAGGTCTGAATTCTCGTGGGGCCTGCTTTTCAAAGCGTGTGCTGCCCCATCTCTTCCATCCCCCATGCAGCGCGCTGCCTGTTCCTTGTGCTATCAGCAGCTGAGCAGAGTTCCTTACGTGGGTCTCTACACAGCCTGCTTTCTTCCCTCCCTCGCAGCATTCCCTGTTGGATGGGGCCTGTCTGGTGGTAGCAGCACAGCGAGACAATGCCGTTATTTGCTTTGACTCCCTGCTGGACAGGTAAGCGGGGACACCACCACGCCAGCCACATGCCAGAGAGCTCCTGAGCTCATCGTGGGGCTGGGATCCTTTTCTGCAATTCATCTCCCATGTACCTTTCCTAAGGGGAGGTACCTCTCAAAGGCCACCCTACTGTCATTGGTTATATTGGGACCAGCATGGTAGAGAGCGTTCATTTTCGGAAGTCACGCATCCAGAACACCCCAACCAGGCACTGGGGTCTCTCCAGGACACGGTCAGGGTAGTGTTGGGATTTTGTTGTGCAAAGACACCGGGAGTTCCCCAAAAGAAGGCTTGCTTGGAGAATAAACCTGCAGAATCAATAGGAGAACACCGGGGTGGATTCTGTTGCATCTACCATGGAAAGCCAATTTCAAGCAAATACCAGCGAACGGAATAAAAAATCTCCCTGTTCAGTAAATCCCCACGAATGCCTGGGAGAGGAGTAAACGTGCTAAAACAAACAGAGCCCCCGTAGGGGCTGATTAGTGGAACCGAATGATCGCAGACCAATTACCCCAGTGGGCCCAGGAGGCAGAGTTTCCCTCTCCAGCACGACAGGCTGATTGTTTGCGATGTGTGCCGGGCTTCCCTGGATCCGGCAGAGCCTGTGCCGTGCCGCACCCTGCAAGGGCGATCTCGCGGCACTACAGGCCGGCTCGCCGCTGGGCAGCACCCCCCGGGAGAACGCCACCAGGGCCCTGCTCTTCTTGAGCCCACACACGCGAGAGCTGGAAAATGAGCAGATCTTTCCAAAGAGGCGCTTCCAAGCTTTTGAAACTCAAACCCAGCACCTCTAGTCCTGGAGCGCCCTCTCTGGCTCATTCCTGGGGGCTTGGATGGGCTTGAGCGTGGGAGGAGCGAGGACTAGTGGAGGCCTCTGGGTTTTGGTGGTTGGTCCAGAAGCCCTGTGTATTTGGGGAAACAATTAGAACTCCTATGGAATTCCTCTGTGTGATTTCCTCCAGAGATAAATAGCCAGGTCCCGAGGGCTTGTCTCTTTCCCACACTGCCCCAGAGACTCTGTTACATCACTGGCCATTACTGTTTGTCTGAGGGATTATATCTGAAGAGCTCCAATCCGTTTATACAAAGCTTCGTAAAACCCTGGATTTAGCTGTGTAAAGAAGTTCAGCAACAGATGCGCATGGCCAAGAATGTTCCCCTCCCCCAACTAGGTCATTTGCAGGCTCTGATGGCAAAGACGGCCGAGTGACACTTGCTTTTCCCCTGCTCTATTTTCCCCCCCTCTTCCCAGTGGCCATCGGCAGAAGCAGGCCGTGCAGGACTGCATGCGGCATCTTCTGTATCCTCAGACCGAGAAGCAGGCAAGTGGGTGTAGATTAAGTCCAGCTGTTGAGAACGGGTTTATTTTGGTGGAAAATGTGAACGAAAATGAAACTTTCTCTGGAGAGAGGAGCAGGGGAGAGTGGGTCAGGGGGTCTCTGGCTGTGGTGCATCAGGGGAGGTGTAGTCTGGCCAGAGAGCTCAGCCCATGTAACAGAATGGGAGTGTGAGGCTTCCGAACTCCAACTCCCGTGAGGCACCGCGGTGCCATTTTGAATAGAAGAAACGTTTTGTCCTTTTGTCAACAAAGCACATTTTCCCCAGGGATCAGATACTTTTCATTTGGTCGAAGCCCTAATTTTGCATCAAAAAGCAGCGCTGGTGGAAAATTGGCCACTCAGCATTCAGATTCTAGAAGCCCTGTCTCTGATCCAGGGGGGAGGATCGCTAACCCGTAAAATGAGGGGTGGCTGGCGGTTTTCTCAACAGCGCACTGCAAATGTGGAGAGGGTCTGTCCAGCAGCTTCCAACCAGACACAGACTTTGGAGGGAGGGTGCTGGCTGAACAAGGAGGGTTAGGTTAGAGGAGATGGGACAGCATGAGGAATGGTAGCCAGCCAATCTGCCTGTCCAGGAAAGCAAGGGAGGGTGTCAGATGTGTTGGTGACATGGCAAAGCTCCCGCCGGAGCGACAGCAGATGGCACATTTCCCCAAAATCAGTGTTCGGCACCCTCAGGGCTAGGCCTTGCAAGAGACCCTGGGACGGTGCCCCAGCTCTGTGGCCTTGCCAATTGGACACCCCTTGGTGAGTGCTGTAAAGCTGTAGTTTCCAGCACAAGGTGTTCTGTGTTGCCCTTGACAACAGGCAGTGCAGGTCCCAGGATGCTGAGCAGAGTGCGATCAGAAGCCTAGCAAGGTCTGCAAGCCCAACTCTTCCCTAGCCCATCTTTGGGAGCCAGCTGTGAGTGTGCGGCACCACACTGCCTGCTATGCCAATGGGGCATGTACCGTGCCACGGCAGCCATTCCGGGCTGCCCACTGGCTTGGGGGAGGCCCTCTGGTTTGCTTTGGAAACAGTGTTGGTCATTGCTGTCTGTCATGAAATCTCTTCTCCCTTGTGCCAGTACATGGGCGCTCAGCCAAGGAGCAAGGAGCTTGGGATGCTTTCTGCACTGGGACAAGTTTCATTGCTCTACGTGAGAATGTGAGCTCATGTCCCCAACCCAGCCTCTCCTCCAGCGCGGTGCCAGGCTGCCCCTTCCCCCTGTTGCATGGTGGGAAATTTCATCTCCCATTGGCAGGGCATCTTTTGCTCAGGTAGCTTGAGAAATAACCGAGGAGCAAACCCGAGAAGCACGCTCCTAGAAAAATGAGTTTGAATTGCCTCAAAGGTTGTCCCGGGCAGCCACGTCTGACCCTTGCTAACGAGAGTACAAAGTGCCAAGCAGGCCCCCAGGCCAGAGCGAATGGGAAACAATATGATGGCAGGCAACGGGGCTAAATAAGAGGAGCTAAGGTTGAAAATCCTCGTTGTTTGCAGCACGTCAGATGAGCAGAGCTCCGTGGGGCAAGCCATGGGCCGTACAGCCAAGGGATCACCTGCTCTGCTCATGGTCCCACAGGCTTCCAGGCCAGAAGGGAGCATCATGATCACCCCGTCTGTCCTTTGCACATTGCAGGACACACACACACACACACCCCTCCATTCCTGTAATAAGCTCATAACCTCTGGTGAGGGACTGAGGTCTGCAGCACTTCCAGTGACCAAGAATTCACCGACTGCTCTAGTTCAAACCAGCAAGTGACCCCGTGCCCCACAGTGCAAAAGAAGGTGACCCCCCCCAGGTCTCTGCCAGTCCGATCTGGAGAATCCTCACCCATGTGCGGTGATCAGTTAGACCCTGGGCATGTGGGCAAGAACCACCAGCCGGACACCTGGGGACGAAGAGTCTCCAGTGTCTCAGGGGGCCTGCTGCGTAAGGCACCATGAGCTAGTAGGCTCCCCTTTCAGAGCTTATGTCAAGACCAGGCAGCTGTAGCGCACTGCTCCAGAGCGAGCCGCGACGGTTTTCCCTCAGGGGCTCACTCGAAGTGCAGGGAGGAGAGAGCTCGCCCGCCCGCCTGCCAGTTCCGTGTGGGATTCGGCTGCCCTCTCTGTATCACGGAGCACGTGGCTCATAGGGCTGCCAGGTGTCCAGTTTTGAACCGGACGGGACAGTCCAGTATTTGAGCTTTCTGTTTGGGAAACAAATGGAGACAATAGAACTGTCGGGTGTTTTCTAACTCAGAGGGGATGTCGATTGTGATGTCATGGCAAGTGTGTCTGGTATTTTTGTTGATACCATCTGGCAGCCCTAGTGTGTGTGTCCCGCTGGCTTTGCACTGGGCCGGGATGACCCACCCAGTCCAGTGCGCACTTCCATGCCCTCGGAGTGGTTTGGCTCTGGCCCTCTGATTTGCATTGCCACAGACAGTTATCTCCTACTAGCAGTGTGCCAGGGAGGAGCCCCCCGGCTGGCAGACAATCAGAGTGCAAAGCTTTGCCCGGTCACGGCACAAACCTGCCTCCTCCGGGTGGCAGCTCGATTCCCCCAGCTCTGCCCGGCTTCCCGCCCCTGGAACCTTTCCAGCTGCCGCTGGCAGCCAAGATGACCGTCTTACCGCCTGCTGCCGTCAGCTGCCCCGAAAAGCTCCATCATTGACACGAAATAGAAGGGACAGCATGCTCGCCAAGAGCGGGGCTGTGACACTGCCCAAAGCACCCTGGGAAATCCCCACCCCCTCCAGCCTCTTTGTGCCAGGTGAAGGGGTCAGTCCCCTGTACAGGAGCCCTGAGAGCCCCATATCTTGCAGAGCAGGCACTGGGGCAGGCAGCCCCAATGGTATCTTCCAAGGAGCTGCTCCCAGTCCCGGGCATATGGACGTGGCAAGGGCAGGGCTGAGCACATGTTGGGGGGACTCTCAGCACGTAGCCAGTTTAGCTGCCCCCCGCCCTGGAGCAGGAACTCTGTGCTGCCCCTCTGAAGGGCACAGCCCAGAACGTCACCCTCGGGCTCCTAGCTCCTCTTCAGGCCCCACCGTGCCCGCGCTGACTCGGAAGTCGTCGCCGCTGTCCCACTCCCCACCCCAGTGAGCGGGGCCCGGTGGCAGTGACCTGACTGCACGCCTGCCTCTCCTGCCCCTCTCCATTCCTTTGGGAAGCCTGAGGGCAGACCCCCGGGGCAGCCAGCCAGGGCAGGAGAGCCAGAGCGGGGTGGCAAGGAAGGGGCGGGAGGAGGAGGAGCAGAGGGGATGTCTTCTAGTGGTTTCCCATGCCGCATCTTGTGCGCTGCCATTTTTGCCCATGTTATAAGAGTAACCGAAGGGCGTTTCCCTTCTGCTGGGCTAATCCCCCCTCTGCTTTGGGATGGCTTCAGCCTGCCCCCACATGTCACCTGGCAAACAGACAGTAAAGCCAGCTCCCCCCCTTTTCTCCCCAGGCTGAAGAGCTGCTCTGTTGCCTTTTCGACTCCCTGACGTCCAACAGCTTCTACCGCCTTGAAATCCAGGATTCCTAGCCCGGGTTTTCTGTTCTCCTGAGCAGCCCAGCTGCAAATCCCATCGGGGTCTGAGCACAGGAGGCCTCAGGACTGCACTGGTAGAGCAGCCCTGTCCCATTTGGGATTAAAATGCCAAGGCTGGAGCGTGGCGTTTGCATCGCTAAGTTGAGTCGGGGGGAGGGAGGGAAGCATCGCTCCACACTGGAGCCCCGGTTCCCAGGGGGCTGACTGGAAAGGGAACAAAGCAAATTGGGGGCGGAGCTGACGCAGAGAAGCCTTTCTGGGGCGCTCTGACTGGCCCCGGGAGCCGTGTGAACAGGGAAGTGGGGCTCTGCCTTCTCCCGAAAGGAACTGGCAGGAGGCGCCGGTTTGCCAGCCACCAGCTTGTCGCTTCTGCAGGGCCTGCTGCTCTCCTGTCTGGGTCTGCAGGCAGCGCAGACGGGCGGAGGCAAGAATAGGGAGAGATCGGCCTTGTGCTGCAACATAATTGGTCTGAATGTCTGATGGGTGCTTGGCGGAGCCCGTCCCTGGGAGAACCCCCCTTCTGCCCTACGTCCTGCCCCACTTTTTCCTGTCACCACTCTGCTCCCACTCCACCTCTTCTCCCAAGCCCTGCCCCCACCTCTTCTGCCCCTGCTCTGCCCCTCCCAGCCCCAGTGCCCCCTCCCTGAACGACGCAACCTGGTGGCTTACCGGGGAGCCCGGCTCCGGCAGCAGGGTTGGGCCCAGCCTGCTCCACTCCCCTGGCTCCCAGCCGTCATTCTGGGGAGCAGACTGGGCCGAGGCTGGGCTGCTCTGCATCCTGCCGCCATCGTGAGTGCAGGGGGACCCTTTCTGCCAGTGCGAGCCCCCCCGATAATCTCCTGGGGCCCCCCAAAGCGTCCTATGGACGGGCCGGCTCTGCCTATAGGGTCATGTCAGTCACTTGGGTTAGAGTTACGGTTCAGTCCTGCTCCCACTCTCAGGTGCCCTGCCACCACTTCCCCAGTAACGCTCACCGCCGGCTGGTGTGTGACAGGAGCTGGAGAGTGGAGACAGGCACAGCCCACAGAAGGGAAGCTGAGTAAGGTGGGGCAGCCTGGGTTCTCTGCAGATCCCCCTAGGAGGCTACCGCTATTGACTGAGCAGGGATAAAAGTATGAGAGTGTAATGTCCGCGTGCCTCCGACCCAGCCCTCCCGCTGAGCCCTCTGTCTGCTCCAGCCCCCCGCCCAGCCCCTTGCCATTCCTGCCACGCTACCAGTAGCCTGTGTTAAAAGCATCATCCTTGTCCCTTCCATTGACTGTCGTGGACCGCTCAGCCAGCTCTCTAGTTCACCTGCCTCCTCGCAGAGGCCTCAGCCTCCTGGGGGCAGCTGAGAAGAGACAGGTGAACTACAGGAGCTCTCAGGAAGATACTTGCCGAGCTCTCTTCTCAGCCCAAGAGGCCTCTTGTTCCTTTGCCCTGTTGGCCAGCCTGAGATCTGTGCCCATGTGCACCAACGCAGCTGATTACATCGCCGGTCGTGGGCGCAGCAGGAGCAGTTCTAGTGCGGTTCCCAGGGAGCTGCTAGCTCACAGCATCACGGCACGCAAAAGGACAGCTCTTTGCTGAGACGCAGTGCAAGCCGTATTTCTGAGGGCACGGTTTTACGTCATTCCGGCAGCTCTCTGCCATGGGTGGTGGGTGAGGGTATTGCTGGGGGGATATAAGCCTCCAGCCCCGCCCCTTCTGCCAGGCCCCGCCTCCCACCGGAGCCAAGCTGCCCTGACCCCCCACAGCTTCATGGGGAGGGTGGTGCTCCGCCCCCAGTACGCTTACGTTAGGTATTCTGGAGGTGGGGTATGGGCGGGGCCAGGATGGCAGTTTAGGAAGGCAGTGCCTCCCCCTGCCATTGAATTCACTGGTGCGTGATCTGCCTCACAGTGACTGGCAAGGCCTTTTGCCCCGTTGATCTATTGGCGGGGGGGCCCACCCTGAAGAGAAGCACCCACAATCCTGAGGTGTATGAATAACCTCACAGGCCCGGATGCCTCCCAGCTAGATAGTGAAACACAGCAACATGGCAGCGGAAACTTGGCAGCTCAGGCATTTGTCCTGATGCTGCTGCTGCTGCCCAGGGCCGTCCCCCACAAGGTCCTCTGAGTACGGACCCAGCATGCCTGATAACCGCCGCTTGCCAGCCCCAGCTCAAGGGACACCTCTTGGCCTTCATCTGTCTGCTGGCTCTCTCCTCCCGTGATGCCCATGATGAGGGGTTATAAGGCCCATCCTTGCTCAGCAGAGGGTCACACGGCACGGCCAACCCAGTGCTCGGTGATGTTCCAGTTTCTCACCGGAGTCCCTCATGAAGGAGGTAGGAAGATGGAGTTCCCAGAGGGGCCATTAGCTTCCTTTGACTTTGCTGTCTTCAGTTGCTGTCTGCATAGATCTGGTCAACC